TATATATATATATATATATATATATATATATATATATATATTTTAAAATCCCTCTATGTGATAAACTATATAATATTTAATGGGGTTATAAATTTACTAATAAAATCGTTTTCAGAATATAATATCTTATTCTTTTCACAAGAATACCAAAATGAAAATATTTTGAAAAAGGGTTCTTTTCCACAATACACTTATCAATGTGTTTCCTAAAAGATTGATTTATTATTTGCAATTAGAAAAAAACCTAGAGTTTATTAAAAATATATTATCCCTAGTAGGACCTGTATTGTATTTAGTATATATAATATAATCTTTCACACAAGCCCCCCCCCCCCCCAGTAGCACAGCGGTATGTCTGCAGACTTACAACGCTAGAATCCGGGTTTTGATACCCGTGGTGGGCAGAGCACAGATAGCCCATTGTGTAGCTTTGTGCTTAGCTTCAAACAAACAAACTTTCCCACAAATATAACAATTCGGTTTATTGCAGAGAAAAATATCTTCAGATTCCTTTACTTTGTTTCTATGATTTAAGATAGTATCTAAACTTTTGGGTTGTCTTCATGATAATATGATCTGTTTATTTTTAAATTCCGCTTTTAGAGTTTTATCTGAAATTCTTTCCAATTCGTTTTTGTTGTTATCATTACTATTAATTTTAACTACAGTGTAATGCGTTATTACGAAAGGAGTAATGTGTTTACTTTTATATTATCTTTATGATTATCATTGGTTTCCTTTTTACTTTTAGCTAACTTAGAACCACTCTATACTACATTTGTCTGGATAATGACACTTCCTAAGGTAAGATTTTAAATCTATCAGTCTCTATTATTGAGTGTCCTGGTTAGAAACAATAGAAAAATTTTCAGAGCTAGACAAAGTGGAATATTTAATTGTGTATGTATAGGATGATTATTATAAACATCTAAGTGATGGTGTGAATTAGTAGGTTTGTAACATAAATCCGTTTCAGTCTTGCAATCTTCCTTTTCAATAATTCATAGAATCCATTTAAAAACTTTCAAATATTATATCTCGAGAGTAGCTGGGATTGCAAGATTATTGAACAAATGTTTTTATAACTCTTCAAATAGGACGAAAGTAACTTTAAATTCTGAAAATGCTTTTTCCCTTATTTTAACATGCTTTAAACAAGCACACAAAAATACCAGAGATACCTACCACAATTGATTTAAGAAAAAAAGAACTTCTCAAACATTTTCTGAATATTACCCGATAACACAAATCAATAATTCATAGTAGAATGAAGCAATGTTTTTAGAATGCCTGAATCGTCATATAGCAATGTTTGCCCTTGAAAGAACCATGATTCTTACTTCTACAACCTATAACTTGCATATGGTAAGAGTAATACGACCAAAACCTTAGCAAGGCAATGTAATACTGATATGTTAATCCTATGACTAGTCGTGTTTTAATACAGATACATTTGGAAGAATTTACATTATCATTGTCCAACACATTTATCCAGAGAAAGGTTGTAATCACACTGGTTGACATCGTTCGTTGAATATTCACTTAAAAAAAAAGGTCAAATTGACTCGAATAGTAAATATAAAGTTAAACGTTCATAACATTTTCAGAAACATATGGGATCTGGGAATCAAAAGGCAGTATATGAGCAATCCTGTGAAGGGGCTTGTAAATCAGTTGATCTAAATAGATAAGGTTGGTTTTGTGCAGATACATATGTAACAGAGAAAAACAGTCTTGGGTTGAATGCTTAATTTTACGGTTGACCAGCGAACATCTAACATTCTGTGATGAATTTACGGCACTCTTAACAAATGATCGCTTGAGAGGGCCTCGTTTTTTACAACACAACAAAATTTCAACCATATGTATTAGGACATTCACAGCAGATAAAATATAATACATGTGGAAAATATGGAAAAATGGGTTTATAAACAACTTTAATTTCTTTGACAAAAACCATTTAAATAAAGATAAACGTATATTAGTGCTTTTGACCCATAGTGATAGGCTATAGGTAAAATAAAATAAGTCAAATCAATATCAACATATCTCAATATCACGTTACGAAACAACAATAAGTCTATTTATAATTAAACTGAAGAAACCACGAACTGAAGATACAATTTAAAATCTAGAAAAAGTAATAGAGTATCACAGGTTCCTCTTGATTGAGTTTGGATGAAATATCCCATTCTTCATGGAAATTTTTAAAAATTCATAAGGTTCGACAGGGAGAGGAAAGTCATAATAAGTTGAAGAATATGGAATTAAACTAATATGAACTAAATTGCTGTTTATATGATTTGTATGTTTGATCATATGATAGTTTAATTGTATTACTGCACCTAAAGCAGGAGAACAACTATAATATAAGATGCCTCCATATGTGCGTGTTTTAAACGTTTCTATTAATACTGGTTTTGAATTCTGATTTAACGTTGAAATGATAAATAATATGTATAATGTTATTTTCAAAATTTTATGTACAATCATTGGTAAGTAACTGGTATTTCATTAGTTGAAGGCTGTTACACTAAATTCTTATTATGGTTCAAAAATATTATATATATACCTACATATCCTTCTAAGTCTTCAGGAGTTTTTAGATGGTAAATAAATGTAAAGAACAGAAATCTAATTACCTGTTAATGTAAGTTGAAGCGTTCCCCACTCCCTTACAAGGAAACAAAGCTTGTTCGTCTCCTTTCCTGTTAGATGTGAAACATAAAACAAATCATGTAATCTTCGCAATGGTAACATCCGTCACTTATAACAGTCATGTCATTCACTAAATGTGCTTATAAAACATGCGTATTTTTTGTTCTTTTTCTTTCTTTTAAGAATGGAATGGAAGATGCCATGATTTCTGAGCAACTAAGGCACGTTATTTGTGTTAAACCTAATAATTTTAACAATCATTGATGTAAATAAAGAAGTGTTAGAAGGACCAAACAGAACAGAAGAATTATACTTAAAGACTGATTTTAACACTTTAAAAATCATTTGTCGAAATAACCATTATAATACGTAAACTAAAGCTAGAGAATTAAAATAAGGGTTCAGTTTGACCGTGAAGTAACTATTTTTTCATTACACAGCATAAATCACTGCACTTTGTTACAGTTTATTGTTCATGGTGAAGCCAGTCACATTCTTGTGTTACAACATAATAATAATGTGTACATGTACTCGGATCTCGTTTGACTATATTAATAGCATGCAAAACTCAAACCTTTCGTCCATCATCAGAGGAGTTTATATATAACAATAGAAATGTTTTATTTCGGTTGTTTCAAGATTCATTAGTTTTAAGATTAATTTCGCATAATTAAACAAGCTGCATTAAAATAACTTAAATAAACGTGTGTGTTTTTTTCCTTTTGCCCTAATTATTATGTCTAATACTTTGTTATTGACATAAGAAACTATTTAAATTATCATTTTAATAGAAAAATTGTTATAAACTTATTTTTGTTGCAAAGGAAGTTATTTCTTTCGCCTGAGTCTTAAAATAAAATACTAGCATTGAAGTAATTTCAATTCAGCTCGTTATACAATACAATATTACAGTTTGTTCACAACCTAAAGAGTTTTAAACGACAAAAATAGTGTGGCTACTGCGATCTACTTAGTACTATGTGTTAGTATTTTATTTATGTAAATAACATACTTCGTTTTGAAGCCCCCCAGTGGCACAGCGGTATGTTTGCGGACTTACAACGCTAGAATCCGGGTTTCGATACCCGTGATGGGCAGAGCACAGATAGCCCATTGTGTAGGTTTGTGCTTAATTACAAACAAACAATCGTTTTGAATTTATGGATTAGGTAAAAACACAGCAATAATTTTATTATAACCCATTAAGTAAAAAAACACTTTTTGAACATAATCACATGGACACCATATTGTCCATTACAAACAAGATCATACTAAAACATAGTATATCGGTTTTATTATGTTTAATTATTAATGATTAATCGTCATTGTATTTTCTTTGCCAGTGATGCACAGTTAATGGTTTATTATTTCCTTATATTTTAGTAGGTTTTCCAGTTTGTTTACGAGTTTAGTTTGATATCCTGATTTGACTGAGATAAACAAAGAGTGTTATTTGCTGTAACACGAGTTTACAGTGATGTTTTCTAAGTGGAGCTCAGAGCTTTCTTATCTGATATTTGTTTATTGCTTGTCTTCGTATAAACATTAATTTCAAGTTTCGATTCCGTACTTTAAGTAATGTTTGCTAAACGTTTATTAGATGTAGAATGTAATTTACCTGTAAATATAAGATGCATTGGTTTTCACTGTCAACAAGCCATGAGTTGTTAGTTACCTTAAAACAAGTATATAAAATCAAAAACATGTAAAAATTATGCGACAATTGAAAATTACTTACCTAATACAGACTTCCTTATGTTCTACAGCAAGCACAGTATTGTTACCCCCACAAACTCCTACACAATCTCTGAGTTGAGAATTAGACGAGTTTCTATTGTCAACGCAAATACCACAATCGTATGTTGAATCTGACACAAAATTAAAATGTGTAAATAAATCGAGATTTTTCGATTACATCTACTATGTTTAAAAAAAAGGTTATCTATATTTTTTGTATTGATTATTAAATATTTGTGCATTATGCTTTAATAAACTGAGATAATGATAACTTTTTAAATGTAATCTTTACATAAACGAACAAGAACATTGTGACACAAGGAAATACATAAATAATCAGCTTAAATATAAAACAACTATTTATCAGAAAGACAAAGCATTAATAATGTGACCTGATTTATAAAGACACCAACATTAGCAGTTACAGAACAGTGGACATAAATTTGAATAGTATTTAGATAGGTTTTGAAGTCAAGAAATTTATAAAACATCATTTTCGTACAGCGGTTGATATGTTGCTAAGAAAACTAATCAATGTATTTATCAAATCAAACATTCTTTTAAACTAATTAAATCCTCTGTATTAATTAAACGAAAATTACTGAAAAAAGGAAAAATCTATAACAACAAGTATAAGTTCCTAAAAGACACGTAAAAGTATCATCTGTGTTTAAATATTTAAAGATCAATTTTAACTGTTCTTCTTGTCCAATTCCACAATACAGATTCCTTTAGATGGTGATTGGACCTTCTTGGAAAGGTTTTGCCTGTCCGAATATCCGCTAACGTGTTTTCCCATCGTAGCGACCAATGAATGGAAGAAGGGTTTATTGTTGCCTGGATTGTGTGACTGGGCTATTGTGCCACACCCTCTTGAAATCATATACACTAGGCTTTAGAATAATTTTTCTGGTCACTTGTGACTAGTTTTGGTAGTCTTCCAAGAGTGCTTACGAAATCCTGGCATTGCTGCACTTGCTCAGTTTGACATTGTAGTTCGTCCTTTTGTAAGACCCTATGGTGGTTGGGATTAGTAGAGAACAAGTATTTTAGGTTTGTTTGTTTTTTCTCTTATGTGTAATCAAACTTAAGCAAAGCTATAATGGGTAAATGACCATGTATTGAAGACTCTAAAGACCCAAAGTTCCCATCTTCAACATCACCTGTACCTCGTTTTATGATTTCAAATAAGAAAAGACTATTTTCTCTTTTTCTTTCCCCAAAGTCGGTTAAGAGGTTCATATCTGGAGATCTGTTGGCCAATGAGGCATTTAATTCTCCTTAAAGTCATAATCCACCAGGGGTATACCTATTAAGTAAGCCATCAAAGTATTTTGAGTTCGTGAAGAGGAGTAATTCTTGGGAGAGGGATCTAATTAACATTCCCAATCCAGAGACTATTTGGTCTCTCCAATCAGTAAGTTTCAACTGTCGGGTGAATCTACACTTCAAAAATGTATTATATAAGCCAAACTAAAGTTCCCATCTTGACATTTAGATCCCCATGTCCACCTGGAAATGTAATGATAGGTTATCTATATTGCAAAGTTTGGCCATATATTCCAAGACATCTATCACTTTTACTAACAAAAGTTTGAGCACTAATACATATTGTCATGGTACTTCAGGTCGTGTTCGTTTTAGTGTCAAGGATTATGACATGACAGCTATGAGTGCAGGCTGGAGTCACACTGTATCAACTGCTCTGATTCTCATCCTTCTTACTTTTTATCGTACTCTAAATGGAACGAGTAGAAAAAATGACTGTGAATTAGGACTTTAAATAACATTTCCTATCTAGAATCAAGAAAGATGGTGGCATATTTTCAACAACGATGTCATATGTCTGCACTTTATTCCACTGCCATAGTGGGATAGCAAATAACTGTCTTTGTTCAACATAAAAATAACTTCTCTGGGCATTTAAAAGTTCTCTTGCCCTCCATTGAAAAGCATATAGATAAATCAAAGTATATCTCTATTTCTGTACCTACAAGTAACACTAGAATGCAATCAAGACCACAATGTATCAGTTCTTGTGTGCAGGATCAAAACCTGGTTGAAAGTCAAAGACAATTTCTTGCCCCCACTAACATCTTATGCACCAACTAGATGTAAATGGACACATTTTGGAAATCAAACTGTTGATATTTATATTCATATAAACACACCATATCTCATATAACCATAGAATACACTAAAATATTAAGTAAAAAATAAAGGTAAGTAAACAAAAAAATTAAAGAAGCTCTACTAATATAAGAACCTAACTCACAATAAACCAACACCAAGGAATAATTCTATGCCCATATTAATTATTTCCTTAAATGTGTTCACACATATATTACACTCTTTACTGCCATATGTAATGGATTAAATATATACATCGCCCCCTACAATCTTATACCTTTCGTTGCTGTCGTCCCCAGGACACCTAAGCAGTAACAGTCACTTTTTCAAAAGTCATTCTTAACCTTATCGTGACTTAAGGAGGTTGAAACGATGTTATTTGTTTTGTGTTTTAAATGAAAGTTTTAATACCCATATCAACCATCTCTACTATATATGTATTTACTTCAAGTGGATTCCTCGTCATCAGTAATGATCCTATCTGTGACGTGAGTAACTGATTGTATCGTCCAGGTAGCGATTATTAATATGCCGAAACCCATGACACATTTACCAGAATATTTTCAACCATCTTCTATGAATTTTCCAACCCTTTTACCGAGAACTACAGAGTATTGGGAAAAGAAAACCTTCTATTCTGGCTTTGTTAGATTTTATGTTCTGGTACTTTATCACAATAATCAGTCACCACTTTAAAGAGTCTGCTATTAAAGTTTTGCATCTAGTTTTAGTTTGCTAAAGTTTTGGTATTTGTTAGAACGTTTACAATCACAGCATCGCTTGTGTATCATGATCTAACTACATACCATCTTCACTTGTTTTTAAACTGATATTCACTAATACAGCAAGTCACTTTATTAACAGTTTGAAATCACATGTTGGTAATATTGTGTTACATCGTTAGAACACTATTCATCAATGATTAAACACAGCTTCAATAACTTTCAAGTGTGTGATTACTTAAGACGACACAACCACGTTTTTGCAAGAAAAAATGATATTAATTTTGTATTGGTATATAAACAATGGAAACGTATTTAGAAGTAATATTTACTTAAAATGTTTACAACCCTCACCACCATAAAGAATCCCACGACAATCTAAGCAGGACGTTCCGTCACCTCCACATACACCACACTTGTCTAAACTAAAAGCCTGGTGTATTACGGGTCCGTTGGAACAGTCATATTCAACACCATGCAGGAAAGATAACATTGGGTTAACTTATATTGACAATCTTAATTCGGTTAAGCAAAAGCTTGAAGGTACTTCCGATGTCTACTATATGACTAACCATAAGGTTTTACAATGTGAATAGTGAAGGATAATCTTGGATATCATATTTACAGAAATGACTTATCAATTTAATAGATGTATCTTGTGGGTTTCAAAGAAAAATAACCTGAACCCGAATTTAACATAAAAACATTATGCGTTGAACTGCAATTTTGAACGAATATGTTTTTCTTACTTTGCACTTGTTCGGACTTTTAAATCAAGCATTGAACCTAGTTATACTTGTGACCAGTATAATAATCATAACTATCTGTTTACAACTTCTTAACGTTTAAATGAGCTAAAGCTTACAATTGTTTCGCAATCGATATATCTAAGTCGCTTACATCATTGTTATAACAACTTTGTTTTGCTACTTTGACATTTCCTTTGTATATATATATATTTTCTTCTCAAAACATTTTGCAATATTATTCCCATTTATTTTGTCGCCCAGCCAGCTGATGTTGTTGGTTTCTTGGTTCAAACATACACAATGGGTTATCTGCACTCTGTCTTCCTCGGATGGAATCGAACATTAGATTTTAGTGTTTTAAGTCCGTAAACTTGTTTCTGACTCACTGCGGAGTCGACCAGGTGGTTTAATGAACTAGTAGGTATTGTGAATGCTTATAAAGCCAAATTAAACTTGAGAGTTACATGCACGCTCACGTTTTGGACTTAAACACCATAAATGCTTAACCTGAAGACATTTTCTTAAAAAATATAACACGCTACATTATATTTTATTAATCGACGGTTTTAAGTGTTTTCAACTTATTAAAAATGTCTTGAGGTGTAACTGTCCTTTTAAACTGATTAAATGAAACGTGACATGAAATTAACATGAATTAGTTTGAATAACTTTAACTGTAACTTAGCGTTAAACCCATTGTAATTAATCTTTAATTCATTTTTGTAATATTACCGTATTAAAAATTCTTGACCTTAAATTTATTTCTAGGTTTCTTATAAATGGTTGAAAGCGCATTTAAACCTAAGTTTTCACATACAAGGCTTAAGATAAGCCACGCAGAAACGATTATGTTACAAAAAAGGAAAACCATTTTCTATTAATTAATTATTAACGAAAATTTACAAAATTTATCGATTCTCAATTGAAGAGAATACGATTCTGATTTCGATGAAACATTCAGTTGATATTTATGAATTTCTATAAACTTTAGTTTCGTAGATTCATTCAGCTGTTCATATTTTGAAGGTAACTCAGAGTAGTGCCTGTCGTCCCCGGTAGGATAGCGGTAACTCTACACACTCACAATACTAATACTCAGGGTTCGATTCCCGGCGGTGGACACAGCACATAGCCCAATGTGGCTTTGCAATAAAACACACAAACGCTTGAACTATAATTCAAGGGTTTTCAAGAGCGTGAATATACAATGTGTAAACAGCATAAAACTTGATTATATTATTCATATTGTGACATTACTCATAAGAATGTGTTTAGTAATAATTATCATACTTTAATCAATACAATATTTCCTTGGGTACAATATATAACATTCCGTTTTAACGCATGATTTTTGTTGATTTTTTTAATAGTTAGGTCTACTTTACATTTGTGTTAGATAACCAAAAATTAAAATCAACTTTTAAATCTTAAATGATTGAAATTCAAGACTTGGAATTTCAACCTGAAGGACATTTTAGAGACATACCCATCCCTAATGTATAATCGCTTAATGTATTGTTAGAGTGTCAACATTATTTATCATTGAATATAAATTTTTGATTATTTTTGTGTGATTTCATAGACTTTTTCAGAAACAAAATCTCTGAGAGGCTGGAACTTGATGTTGAACAAATCTACGAACCTATCAACATATGTCAGTATTTGTTTCCGGAACAACAAGAACATGAACAGCATGCAGTGCTGCGTTTGGTTCCTTCCAATTTTTTTATAAGAATTAAACAACCAAATAACACGTCACCACTTTCTCTTGCGGAAGGAGCGAAATTACCTCGTCTTATGTTCACAGCCTGGGATATGACAGAGACATGGTCTGGTAACATGTTACGTTTAGAGCCGTCAACATGTGAACAGGTAAGTATATATTAACTATGTAGAATACGTAAGCAAATGATTATTTTGACTGCAATTATGTACTTTGTTCACGATCCTCTTGTTCACCTTTAATGAGGCGTTGCCATTCGCTATCTGGTGCCTTAATTTCCCAATTACCTTAAAAATATAGACATTCGTCAAATACTTTGTTCATGATTTTTTTTGTGTAATCTTAAAATTTTGAAAAGATTCTTCTAAAAAATAACTTTATATGAATTTCATTATGAGACTCTCTATTAATCTGCTTCATACCAAAATATGTCATATATTAAAATAGTAGATGTATTAGTTTTTCTAGAGAACATCAAAAGTATAAAGTACAGTTAGAAGTACGTTGACACTTGAAAACCCTTAGACCAATTCGGTTTTTATTGGAAACAACTTACCTAGAGTGTCCTGATTATTTAATAATACAGCCATTCCAAGATTCTTATTATCAAAGTCAGAGTATAAAGAAGCCACAACACTAAATACTGAAACACCTTCTGTCAATAATAAAGATGAAAATAATTTGTTGGAATGTCTCTTAATGTCATAGAACGGAGCGATATTTTCTTTGTTTGCCTGGAAATAATAATATGTACTGTAAGTTTTTGTACTTACTTTAGTTGTGAAAGTTATTATTTCTTCAACTCTTAAAATTGAGTTAAGAATGAAAGCAATTAGTTTCAAAACCTACAAATACTGAGTTCATCAATATTTCCTGAAGTATAAATAAACTTATTGTTAAATATGAACAATTGTAACAATGTTTGATCTAATGCAACCGGTGTATAAAACATCAAATCTTGACTGATAATTACGTATGTGCATGGCTTTAACCATTCAATGAATCGTGGAATGCTATGTGGCACTAAAAACGCAAATTATGCTTATCTCACTTACTAATATGGTGTTCCTTTCTGTTGGTTAAATTCTATAAAATATCTGTATCGGACTACTGGTTGAACTGTCCAGTGTACAAAATATGATGTCGTTGAGTACACTCATCACTTTAGCTTTCAGTGGGTTATAAAAATGAATCCCATTATTTCGTTCAAAGAGCCGAGCAAAGCCCTCGTCGCTGTAAATGATCTTGACTTACTATATTTGATCTGGTTAGATATTCAAAATCCGACTATACCTGAACCCTAAGACATCTTTGGCGTAGCTGGATGTTTAGCCATAAGCTACTGCTCGTAATTTAAAAATATCAATTTCTGTAACATTTTTAAGTATTACCTTTTTTAATACAAAAAGTCCTTAATAGGCAATTTTAATTTGTTTATATTTTTGAATGGAACATGTGGAGAAAACTCAATAACATAAATACAAGTAATCAATAATATCTGCTGTGCATCACAAATCATATTGAAGAAAATATTATTGAAATCCTTGAATAATAACGCTTTCAATAATCATGAGTAAGGTAAATAAACTTGTGGGACCTCTGAAAAAAACGTTTCTTCTGGGATTTGATTAATTGGAGAACAATTACCTCTTTACATGACTTTAGCAATTATCTAAATAGTCCGTATACCGAGGTCGTTAGTTTAGCTATTTCTCGTAATTCTATAAAAACTACATATCAGGATTAGAAACATTATAGAACAGAGTATCGTACGATTAGTTCAATAAAATAGTTCTTAATTAAAAGATAATTTTGATGTCACCTTCTAATGATATATTCCTAGCAAGAATATAATTATGTTTCCTAAACACTTATTTATGAAGACTTTACAATAATTAGAGGTACAGTAATTTTAGATTGCAATACACAAACGTAGTTTAATCCAACGTTAGCATGGGTTATATAGTAAATCCGTTTTTGATTTCTACAATTTTATCCACAAACATAGTTATTCCATTAAAACAGAAGAAACAGTATGATCGACCAGATGAAATAAGTGTAGCTTTAACGTAAATCATAAAAGAATAGGCTTTTGGAGAGTTGTGAAACGAATCGATAGTATATTCTGAAACACATTTATTTCATTTGGGCAGGGATTTAAAATTTGAATATTTGTAGAATTTAGATTCAGATAAACCTATTTTGTCTGTTTCGTCTTATGACTCAAATTTGAACTGAAAATTTTACCATCAATGTCAGTCGTTTCGTGTCCATGATAACATCTCTGCTCCACATGTCTTTGGCTTTTAAAACAAACACTAAGCTGAAGTTTTCAGCATAACCTAAATAGGTTTCAACCCAAACTTGGTCCATGAGAGAGATCTGACGAGCGTCTCTAAAACTGAGAAATATTATAAAATAAATATAAACGTGATGAACAATGGACTAGGTAATTAACTTTTATATCAGAGCGAAAATGGTATTCCAAACCATTTTTGGATATCTAAATAACACTAATATAAAGATGAAACTCATATTTTAGTAAATAATATAAAGTTACATTGATTCAATTTTAGAATGAGAATACGATTGTGTGAAAATCGTTAATTCTTGTTCTGTTAGATGAAATTCTACAAAAATTTTAATGTAAAATACATACCACTACCATTCGCTAATATATTATACAATTCCACTTCAGTAGTATAATCCATGCATAACTTAAAGAGCACTGACACTAATATGAAGTCATAAATTTAGAATAAGAAAATTAAATATTGTTAAGGGCTATTTTTATCTATGGTTTACAAAGTCTCTTAGCAATAATAGAATTATGCTATTATATTCCATAACTTAACGCAAGAGATGTCACAATTACTCTATCCACCCATTTGAGTACCTAGCGAAAATACATGTTACGTACTTAACCGTTACAGGAATGTCCCTAATTTCTATTGGTCACAAAAATTATTAATAAGATAGAACGACGTTCCTCGTAGAAACTGACAGCAAACTTACATTCTC